AAAATTTGAAAATTTGAACAGGAGGGCGGCACTCTTGCACCAGGCAGCGCGAGGCAACCAGGCGCCTAGAGGCTCTAGGAGTTTCAGGGTAGTATATCCCAGTTGAGTTGAGATGGGCGCAGGCAAGAGAAGAGATATCTGGACAATTTGTGTTTTGGTGTTGTGTGTTTTCTCCCTATTTAGTAGTCGCCCTCTATGTTAGTTTGTGGCTAAGTAAGGATCCTTGCTAGCCTGCCCTGTCTTGCTGCTTGTCTACCTGTAGTAGCTAAGGCCTATACTTTGTTAAGTGTCTCTTTAATCCTCTTTATAACTAGGTAATTTATTATTATAACTACCTTTTAGAGGGTTACTGCCTATATGTACAGGGATAGTAGTAGTGTTCTACTCTCTTTCTTAATTACAGCTACTAGTGTTCTCTTATAGGCCCCTAGCGTCCGCCTTAGACACTTGTTCTAGACCACTACTAGCTTGCAAATCTTTACCTTATCTATGCCTTTGCCTTACTGCCCTATTAACTATATCTAGGATCTATATACTATAATTAGACATGCTACTACTGTGTATACTAATTATAACATGTAGACTAATAGGCCCTATAATAATGCTATAATCCTAGACATAGTGTGGAACTGTAAAGAAAGTAGGGGAAGGACTAGACTACTTTCTTCCTTGTCTAGAAGGACCTAGACAAATCTAGACTAGCTTTGTCTTAATAGGAAGCGTATAGTCTAATAGAGGTAAGGTAGGGTTATGTATTATAATAGACAAGTTATTATATTAGATACTAGGTAGAGATTCCTAGGCTAGGTTCAGAGCGAACAGAGGGGGGAGAGCCAGAGGTATTTATGCTTCCTCTCCTCTGTCTGTATTTCTAAGCAGAACCTTCTAGACTCCTCTAGGTAGGTCTACTTTATCTATGCTTAGTATTGCTGTATATGCAAGCAAGATTACGTAGGTCACAACACCAAAACACAAATTGTCCAGATATCTCTCTTCTCGCCTGCGCCCATCTCAACTCAACTGGGATATACTACCCTGAAACTCCTAGAGCCTCTAGGCGCCTGGTTGCCTCGCGCTGCCTGGTGCAAGAGTGCCGCCCTCCTGTTCAAATTTTCAAATTTTCAACGCACAGACTACCTACCCTTATTAGAAAATCTTATCTTATTAAAGATCTTATCTACAAGAATATAAAAACCTAAACAAAATAGCTGCCTACACAATAGATAGTAATAAGCCTTTGCTTAGTTTTCTACTTTCTAACCTTACTCTCTACTCCTAGAGGTCTACTAGTTAGGCTAGTAAGAATAGGGTATAAGGCAAGAATAGTAAAACTAAGATAGCCTTTTTACCTTATTTTTTAGCTCTAAAAAGCTGACAGAGATTAGGTACCTCTGCCTGTATAAAAATAAGCTCTCCTCTAGTTACTTTGTAATTTTCCTTATAAAAGAGAAGGATACCTACACCTAGGACCTAGGACCCAGGACAATGGAACCAGAACCTCTGGCTAGTAGAGAGCAATCTCTAGACAGGGAGACAATAGACCTAAGCACTCCTAGCTCCCCTGACCCTCTAGGAGAGTTGTACCTACCTACACCCACTCCTATGCCTCTACCTCAGCATCCATCGACGCCTCTGCCTCCACCTACAGCTATACCTCTAAGCTCTACCTTGCCAAGGCCTACTGCCTCTTCTAAACGACCTGCGAGCAGACCTGCTACCCCCCCTATGCCTAGACTTCCACCTTTCTAATTTAATGCTGCCACTAGACCTGCTGCCTAGGCACCTATTGCTAAGACAGTAGAAGAAGCACTATCTATTGCTAGAATAATGGTTATTTAAGCCTCCTCTCTTGCTACCTCTAGCAAAGAACAATCTAACATCCTAGACCTCTTAGAAATCTTTAGAGACTACACAGAAAATAATAGACTAAATAGGTAAGGCCTCTCTATCCTAGCCTCTTAAGTCTTAAACCTAGAAGCAGTGTTAAAAATAATTAAAGCAAGAGTTAGACTTTTGCAAAAGCCACTCTCTTCTACTGCTGCTACTTCTTCTACCCAGCCTAGCTCTTCTACAACAACAAGAACACAGACCACCTCTCTACCTACTTCCTACGCCTCTGCAGCTGCAAGCAACCTACCTAAGGAAAGAGAGTGGCAAACAGTTACTAAGAGTAAACCTACTACTACCTCTCCAAAGAACTCTCTTAGTACTCGCCAGCTAGTTCTTACACAAGAACAAGAACCTCTAGCTTTTGCTCCTCTTGAAATACGCAACGCCTTTAACTTAGCCTTTGCAGAGAAAGGTGTAAAATTACTAGTTATTGCCTCTGCTACGCTAAGCCTAAGAAAGAATATTGTGCTTACTACTACACCTACCTTTACTGCAAAATACCTACTTAAAAATTAAGTAATCTAGCAATCTATTATTGTATATAAGGAAGCCCTCCCTATAGAGCCCTAGCACAAAGTAATCCTACAAAATATCCCTATATCTCTTGCAATAAACTAAGACCTGCAGGTGCTAAAGATAGAAATTGCTACCTTTAATAGAGGCCTAACTATTATTAGACACCTATTTTAGATAACAAGTAGAGATAAAAGACAGAGACAGCAACTAGGCTCTGTCTGTGTAGCATTTGCTACAGAGAAGGAAGCACAACAGGCTATTAGAAATAGACTATACCTGCTTAGCGCTAGCATTAAAGTAGAAAGATTTATTGCTACACCCCCTTCTACACAATGCCAAAACTGCCAGCGCTACGGCCACACAGAGACTAGGTGCCTCTATAGCACTACCTGTAAAATCTGTGCAAAGGAGCACCCTACAGCACTCTACAAGTGTAATACTTGCAATGCTAGAGGCAAGACCTGTGCACACACTCTACCTATGTGCACAAACTGCAAAGAGGCACACACTGCAGATAGCACACAATGTGCAGCTTATAAAGCTACACTAAACGCGCAAACAAACCTAGAATGCTAGACAACTTAAGGATCCTACAAGTAAATCTAAACAAGAGCGCACAAGCAATAGAGAGTGCCTTGCAACTTGTAGTAGAACTAGTAATAGACCTTATACTAGTACAAGAGCCTTAGCTTATTCCTGCTAGATAATCTCCTTTAGATTACTTAGACACACGCTCTGTAAATTACCCCTCCTTTACACAAATCCTTCCTTTGTTACAAGACTACAGCACAAGACTACGTGTTTTAGTCTACTCTGCACGCACTATACAAGCGCAAGTCACTATATTAGCAGACACTAGTCCTAATCCTAACTTCCTAGCTATTATAGTTAAGAGCTCTAGAACAACTTTCTCTATTTACAATGTCTACAACCACATTGGGAAAATTTTTCGAAATCCGGCCTAGACCGGCCGTTGCTGACAGTCGTGGCATGGTCGTGCAACGGCCGTTCAACGGCCCCAACGGCCCCAATTTGCGCCTAACAGCCCCAATTTCGCGCCAACATTGCTAACAGCTAAAATGCTAAGTGCCTATATTTAACAAACTTAAAATAACGTTGCAATATTGTTATATAGCTACCCTTAGTGCTAGCACTAGCATTAAATATTTAAAAATTGCGAAATTTCATATACAGATAGAGCGAAATTGTAGCTTCAAAATAAGCAAAAAATTATTATTGTAGGCCTACTACAACGCGAGTTATAGAGCGTTGAAGGTTTGTTTGTTGAAGGTTTGTGTTTTGAAGTTGCGACAGCACACCATAGCAGCTGCAGCTGCGCCCGCACACAACGTAGCAGCTGCAACAGCATACAGCATAGCACCTGCTGACCACAACACACACACACACACACACAGCAGCAGCGCAACAGGAGCTTGCAGAGCAGGCAGGCCTAGGCGTAAAATTCTTGGTTTACCTACTATTCTTGAATAATATTCTTATATTTTCTAACATTTAGGCTGCTAGAGCCCTAGCAAAGAATCTTAGCTTAGTGTCTTAGGAAGGAACATTAAGCTTAAAACCTTCTACACTTAATAACTATTCTATTGCTAGGCCTATAATGTTGTTTAATAGCTTATTTTAAAGAGGAGACATAGTAGTATATTAATATAATAAAAGTATAGTTTATTAAGCAGAGCTACTATTATAGCAGGATTAGGAGTTGTTGTAACGTAGATTATCACCGAGCCGGCCATATCACCGAACCGGCCATTTTCTCTTAGCACGACTAACACAAGTTACTGCAACTACAACTACTTGCTATTAAATAGTGACCTAGCATACTGCGTGCTTACATTAGATTTAGAAGATGTTTCTGCACCCTCCTAGCACGTTCGTGCGTTGTGTCTAGTTTTGCTGCAGTTCCCACAGCGCTGAACAGTTGACTGAGCTCCTAGTTAACTACCTCCACCCTGAGTCTTCTTAGATGGCTGAGCTGCTACACACGTCTCAGCAGCTACCCGCGATGCTGCTGGGCCATACTCAAGTGTGCCACCATGCTGAATCTGCTTTCTCTTACGCGATTTTCTCTTAGTCATTACTGCTAATTGCTCTTCAAGCTCTCGCACGCGGGCCTTGATAAGGACGTTTTCGTGCAGCATCTCTTCAGCCCCTTTTACAAGCTTTGAGAACCCCTCTTGCGCTGCACTTGGCGATCGTTAGAAGGAGTCGCTTACAAGCTTAGATTGAGACCCAAACTCGTGTGTATTGCTCAGCGTCTTGGATTGCCACAGCGTTTTGGGTAGAGGTACTGCTGGTAGGGTATGCAGCCGCACTTCAAGGCGATCTAACACCACCTGCGCGTTAGTAGGAACAAGCCCTAATGCCTTAAAGGCCTTTTAGCAGTTAACCTTTGTAAACACATTAAGGAACGTGTCCCTAAAGGCTAGTAGGAAGCCTTCCTTATTAATATAGAAGATGCGTTAGTGTGCTAAGTCTTGAACGCATTAGGAGTACTTGCGCTTTAACAGCAAGAAATAGACTATGTTAAGTAGCTAGAGGATGTGCAACAAGTAAGGTGGCATGCAGAGAGTAAGGATTTAGTTCTCTAGGCAATAGTCCTTAAACTCCTAGTTAAGATAGCTCTTATAGCTGTCTAAGATAAGCAGCCTATACACTCCTACCTAACGCGTCTTTGTATGCGTGTTAAAGTGCTTTAACTACTTAAGGCTAAGCATGTTGTTTGTCTAACTGTTCTTAGAGACTAAGAGCTTCTAATCGTGGGGTATATCTGTCTCCTTATACTAGGCAGAGATGTGGACGCGTCCTTTGTAGATGATGAAAGGCGGGGTTGCATACCCAGCGGCGCAGATGCTCTGGATAACGGTAACCCACTCGCGATCACCTGGCTGAACAAGCTCTGGCCGAGCACGTCTCTCTAAGCCTGTTACAACCTTTAAAGACAAAGCAACGCCTATCTAGAACCTAGTTTTATTAAAGTTGTGCACGTTATTGTTGCAAACGCTATACTTAACTTAAGTATCCTCTACCAGCTTAAACCACGCGCTAATTATCTCAGGATCTTCCTGTAGTATCCTCTGTCTATCCTTGGCTTGATTGAAGGCCATTTTAAGCTCGTCTGAACGCGTCACAAGCCTGCTAGCCCATAGTTTGCCAACAGGCTCTTCACCACGCACACTAAGTATCTTATTAGCCATATCTGCCACCTCACATAGCTGGGGCGCAAATCCTCGCGAATTAAGGTTAAGTATATACTAGATAATTGTCTGCTCCTCTAGTATAGTAAGTTTCTAGCAATTAGCGCGTATGTCTAGTTAAAACGTGATATTGCAAAGGCAATTAGAGACCTGCTAATAAGGTACGTTCAATGCTCTAGCAGCACTATGGATACTGTGAAATTGGCCAGCGTAGAAGGCCTAGATAGCAAGGATAACTCTGCCTTCTCTAGTAGTATTCTGAAGTTGTTGTTGTTAAGGCATGTTGTGTTGGGGTAAAAGGTGGTCGTGCTAAGAGAAAGTGGCCGGTTCGGTGATATGGCCAGCTCGGTGATAATCTACGTTAGCCATTACAGCTGTTAGGACCATTAGAGCTGTTGGCTTGAAATTGGCTAGACATTGAATGCACATTGAATAACTGTTGTAGGCCTATAAGTCCTACTGTTGCCTATAGTACAATGCCACGATTTCCTGATTTCAACAACAGAAAAACTTTTCCCGATGCAGCTAGACACACAAGGCATTATCACAATAGAGAGAAAGCTCCTTAGCACCTCTATCTTGCCCTCCGCCATCCTGCTTGGCGAACCTTATAGAAGACTGGCAAACGCTAGGTAGAATTGGCTCTGACCACCTAGGCATCTTATTTATAATAAGGACGCCTAGAACACAGCAACTTAACAAACCTGCTCCTAGGTTTAACACTAAGAAAGCAAATTTAGGAAAGTGCTAGCAAAGGAGATAGCAAACAGCTCTGCTCTTAGCAACGCAAACACTCTAAACTACTCTACAAGCAGATCTCTAGCACTTCTCTAAGGAGAAGACCAAGACCTAGAAGAGCAGCTAGAAACACTAGCCAAAGAGCTCACTACAGCTATAACTAAAGCAGCTAAGGCAGCAATTCCACAATGCTCTACCACTGCAAAAAGCACGCCCTGGTGGAATCAAGACCTTAAAGCACTTAGGACAAGCATGCTCAGCAAACAACGCCAACTGCAGAGAGAACTTGCTGTTAGCCCAACAAGTGCCTACACCTGGAAAAGAGACTATCTAATAGCTAGAAACAGCTATCTACAAGCTGTCAAAATAGCTAAACGCGACCATTGGAACCAATTCCTAGAGAGAGAGGACCCTTAATCAATCTTTAAAGCTATGGCTTATACTAGAACTACTTATAGCTAGAATATACCTGCTATCTAAGGCCTAAGGGGAATAGAGGAATCTTTTTAAGGCAAATGCTCTGCACTAAGAGAAACTCTCTTCCCCAGCCCTCCTGCCTCTAGGCCTATAGAGTGGGACAACTACCAACCAAGCAACTGGGAATGGCCTAATCTTACTATAGAAGAGCTAGAATACGCTTGCTCAGCACAAATCTAAAGCAGCTCTTCAGGACTAGACGCCCTAACACAGGAGATTATTACTACAGCATATAAAGTATAACGTGTTTCACAAGCGAGCGCCGCACCCAACCGAGCGCCGCACTTTCAACAACAGAACGCCTGCGCAGCGCTATATCACAACACAACACGAATAAATAATTGTTTACAGGCCTAGATAGTATTATTTAGAAGCTTTACTATTATCTATGTCCTCTATTTCTACCTTACAAGTGCAGGAATTATGTCTAATCTTACTGCAACACCTATAGTGTTATCTAACATGCACCCTCTTTGTAGGCATCTTACCCTTACTATAACCCCTACCCTCCTTTTTAGTAATTAAGTTAGCTACTTTACTAACTATAAGAGTCTCCTCTATATATATATATTATTACTTAACCTGTTTTATCAGTGAGCGCCCCACCTCAGTGAGCGCCCCACGAACACCAGCAAAGCGCATGCGCGACACTCAACGCGTAATGTCTCAACAACCACAACCTCACAAGCCCTATACTGAAGCTGACGTGCAGCTTGCCCTCTCTGACATTAAATGCGACCAGATTACGAGCCTGCGACGTGCTGAGGCAGTCTACAGCGTTCCTCGTAGGACGATACAACGACGACGTGACGGGAAGCCCTCTAGACGCGACTGCGAGCCCAGATCAAAGCGCCTGACGAAGCTAGAAGAGGAGGTGATTCTGCAGCGTATACTTGACGAGAACCTACGTGGAGTACCGCCCTCGAAGCTAC